TTTACCGAATGATCGATTGATTGCTTGATTAACTGACAATTAAATGGGTTAATTGATTAATTGATTGACTGACTGATTGATTTGAATGATATCAATAATAATAATAATAATAATAACAATAATAATAATTAATAACAATAATAATAATAATAATAACCTAAAATCTCTGGATATAAAGTACTGGATTTCGGTCAAACTTTCCCTACACACTTCTGTCATCTGGGGTTTGTCAATTGACGACATCAGACACTGCATTACCCTGATGTGATTGGTTGGTTGGTTGATTGGCCGTTGTGATTGGTTGATTGAATGTTTGTTTGATTAATGATTGGTTTGGTTGATTGGTTTAGATGGCTGTTCAATTGATTGGTTCTTTGGCTGTTTGATTGATTGGTTGATTGTTTGATAGGTTGGTTTGGCCGTCTGATTGATGATTGGTCTGTGATTGTGAGAGTTTATCGAATAGGTGATCAAACATTGCGTTACCCTGATGTGATTGGTTGATTGATTGACTGTTGGTTGATTGATTGATTGATTGGTTGATTGGCTGGCTGGCTAGTTGCTTGATTGGTTGAGAGATTGATTGACCGGTAGAGGAATAAATTGATTGAGGGAACGACGAACGTAAGGCGGGAATCCCGATTACTGAAAAATAAAACCACGCACTTATCATCATCGTCATCATCATCGTCATCATCATCATTACGACCTTCCTTCCCCTGGCGTCAAGTCGCCACAGTAGACGGCCACAACGTCGCGACACGCTCGCTTCAAGATGGGATCGACGTCGTAACTTTCACCGATATCCACTTGTAACATCAGATCTTCTAACTGATTTTTATAATTATTTTTGTTATTAATCAAATCAAATCAAATCAAATGTTATTCAATCAATCCAAATTAATAATAATTAGGTAATGATTAGGAGACCAAAGCTAAAAGAAAACAAAATTCTTGTGTCGCAGGCCAGCGTTCACAAATTGATCATTCTAGCACAATGTTTAAGTAAATTTATAATTCATGACAAAATTAACATAATGCACAATTTAATGTTATCATAATTCGAACGTCTAATCTGAAATTAAATATCTCTATTAATAATTGTAGTATAAGTCAGGTTGATTCAATTAAATTTCTAGGTGCTTTTATTATTTCTACATTGTCCTGGTCTCACCATATCCAATTTATTTCTAAAAAGGTTTCTAAAAATTTGGGTTTTTAATCCACCGTCTTAAAGTCAGATTTCGTAATTACATTTTACAATCTTTATACAATTCTCCAATTTCGTCTTATTTTACTTATTGTATTTCGATCTGGTGGCATAGTCCTAAAACTCACATTCATTCACTGATTGTTTGGCAAAATTTTTTTGCAAGAATTTTTTTAAATTGGGTAAATATGACCAAATATCAACTCAATTTGTCCTATCTGGTTTATCAGATATTAAAGATCTACATATTTTTCATTCATTATGTTTATTTTATAAAGTATATAAATTGAATCATTGTCCTTCTCTGTACACTCGCATCATTGATTTTTACAATACAACTCGCATCAAAATGTTAAGAGTAACTCCTGAATTTTATTTCTGCAAACCCAGAACGCATTTTTATGTTAACTCTGTATTGTGTGTTGCTGTTCGACTTTGGGATTTTTTGCCAACATTTGCTAAAGAGAAGCTCCTTATAATTAATGTAGCAGCAGCAACAGTAATAGTAGTAATAGAAGCAGTAATTGTAGCAGTAATTGTAGCAGCTGTAGTAGTAGTGTAGTAGTAATAACAACGACATCAACAACAACATTCATCAACAACAACAACATCAACAACAATATCATCAACATCATCAACAACAACAACATCAACAACATTCATCAACAACAACAACATCAGCAACAACATCATCAACATTCATCAACAACAACATCAGCAACAACATCATCAACATTCATCATCAACAACAACATCAACGACAACATCATCAACATCAACAACAACATCAACAACATCATCAACAACAACAACATCATCAACATCAACAATAACATCAAAAACATCAAAAACATCAACAACAACATCAACAACAACAACTAACGCTAGCAGAACATGTAGACGAGACTTGAATGGAGAAAACCCCGTTAACTTTCTGGGGCCTGGCCAGATCCATCAGGCAGTGTATGGTACCACCGTCCCGTCGTAGACTGCCTGGGGGTCGGGGATGGAAAGATGGTAAAAGTTGGAATGAAAGAATGCGAAAAAATTGGAAGATTTCGGGAGAATGAACAGTCACGGTCTTCATCTTCGTCGTGATCACCATCACTACCATGATCATCATCATCATCATCATCATTATCATCATCATCATCATAACCATCGTCACATCGCCACATCATGATCATCATTATCATCATCATCATCATCATCATAATCATCGTCACATCACCACATGGCATCATCATCATCATCATTATAACCATCGTGACATTATCATCATCGTCATAACCTCCACACTTCTGCTCGATTTCATTGGAGCAGCCAACGACGATGCTCGGACTGATCCTGTAGTCCTCCATCATACTCCTCCGAACCTCCTTCAACTCCATCCTACATTCAGCCTTGACCTGGCGACCTTCGACGGTATTAAAGGTCATTCGTTCGTTCATCATTCATTCATTCATCCATCCATTCATTCATTCATTCGTTCGTTCATTCATTCATTCATTCATCCCTCCATCCCTTCATTCATTCATTCATTCATTCATTCATTCATTCATTCGAGTTGAAAGTCGTTAGTTGTTGTTGTTGTTGTGTTTGATTACATTTTAGCTTCATAGATCGATTGTTATTAATTGCGGACTTGCCTGGCTGTTGTGCCGTCTCGTAATAATAAAAATAATAAAATAATAATAATAATGATAATATAGATAATAATGATGATAATCATCATCATCAGCAGCAGAATCATGATCAGGACCGACCTTCCTTCATCCCGGCTTCCAGACACAACAAAATGGCCGACATGCGGGCGTTCGGGAACCTCGCGATCCTATTGGACGAGTTGGATCATCACAATCACCACCGCCATCACCATCATCATCATCACCGTCACCAACATCATCATTATTACCACCACAATTAACATCATCAATACCATCATCGTCATCATTACCAATACCTTCACCATCATCATCGTCATCCTCACCATCATCATCGTCATCATCACCATCATCATCATCATCAACACCTCCACAATCATCATCATCATCATCTCGTCATCATCATCACCACCACCGACCTATCAATATGCCTCATACAGTTATTCTCCACGACCTCCTCCTGGCAAGACTGGGCGAGCCTCAGATTGACCTTGTAGTCCTCTTGCTGTAACCTCTGCCTCAAGATCAACATGTCTCTACACTGTGAGTGTGTGTGTGTGTGCGTGTGGGCGTGTGTGTGGATGTGTAAAAAATTCATGTGTGTGTGTGTGTGGATGTGTGTGTGTGTGCGTGAGCGTACATGTGTAAAAAATTCATGTGTGTGTGTGTATGCGTTTAACAAAAAATTAATAAATATAAGAATGAACGAATGAATGAATGGCAGTATCGATGAATGGCAAAAAATATTAAGAAAAATTTGAATTAGAAAATAGGAGAGAAAGAGAGAAGGAGAGAGAGAGGCAGAGAGAGAGAGAGAAAGAGAGAGAGAGAGAGAGAGAGAGAGAGAGAGAGAGAGAGGAAAAGGAAAGGAAAGTTGCGAGAAAAAACTTGGTGAATATTGAAGATAGACAGACAGATAAACATCCAGACGCAAATACACCCAGACAGACAGTCAGACAGACTTTTTCAGACATGTCTGGCGACATTTTTTTCTTAAAGAGGCATTCGTAGACTCTGCCCTGGCCCGACTGCACGTCGCCACACAAACGCTCTCTGTCATTGCGACAGGCGAAGTATAACTGCCTGGTAGAATGAGTGAATGAATGAATAAATGAATGAATGAATGAATGAATGAATGAATGAATGAATGAATGAATGAATGAATGAATGAATGAATAAAGAAGTAGATGAATGAACAAGTGTCTAAACGAATGAGGTAAAAGAATTTAGCAAATGAATGAACGAATGATTGATTGAATGAATGAATGAATGAATAATTGAATGAACGGTTGGTTGAATTAATTAATGAATTAATTAAGTTAACGATTAAATGATTGAATAATAAATTCTCAATTAATCAATTAATTAAATATTATCGTTGCGACAGGTGAGGAGTAATCGGATCGAATGAATGAATAAATGAATGAATGAAAAAAAAATTGATGAATGAATGAATGAATGAGTGAGTGAATAAACGAAGGATTAAACAAATAAAATAATGGTTTAGTTTAGAAAAAAATTACATTTAAAGTCGGTAACTTGTTCTATCAGTTTAAATGGACGATAAACATTTTTGACACCAACAACAAAATCATTTTCGCTGTCACCATCATCTTCACTATCATCGTCTTCATCACCATCATCTTCTTCATCACCCTCATAATCACCATCATCATCACCATCTTCATCACCATCTTCATCACCATCTTCATCACAACCATCTTCAAGACATGAACACATCTACCACCACTATCAACACCGTCATCACCATCACTACCACCTGTCGTTATGATAATCGTCGGCTTGCAGCTCAGCCACTCTCAGCAGCTCGTCGCGACAGTTCGGCTGCAAATCTGACAGCTTCTTCTCCAGACAAGTTAACGTGTTTCCTTGGTTGTGGTAAGCCTGGAGGGAGTGAAGATGACAACTGTGATGAAAAAGTTGATGGATGGTGATGATTCAATGTGACGAACGGATCGGTGATGGTGGTCATTGTGGCTACGTCAGACGCATCACATCGCTGACGACAGTGGCGGATTTAGTATGGAGGGACCATGGCCCACCCCCTTTGTAGGCAGTGTTATTAAAAGACAGTACAAGTCAGTTCTAGGCAGGAATATTTCCCATTTTCAGTTCTCAGACGCGAATGGTACTATAGTTCGATTCTTTAGAATGTGGCCCTGATATAGTTATTTAACCCGATAGTCTGTTACCAGATCCACATGCTACTTAACTCCAGAACATGAAAATGTATAATTTATTAATGGAAATCCCGATGTTTTTGATACACAGTAGGCCGGATCGAACGAATAATTGTCATTATAATGATAACATAAATGTATTGCAAAACAACGTACTATAGTTCGATTTTTTAGAACGTTACTGACATATTGAATTAAGCTGGTAGTTTGCATGCATTAGATGCATGCAAAGGGGTATCTAAAGGAGCCGGGGTGAGCCCCTCCTATGGGCCGGCCCATAGGGGGGGCTATGGGAACAATATTTTCATTAAAATTCAGTATGACTCAGTCTTTAGTCACTATATCACCATTACATCGTCCAAAGCATTGCTACGAATCTCGAGATTGGTTCATCATTAAATCCGCAATTTATCCTCTTGTATGTGCGTGTGTGTGTTTGTGTGTGTGTGTTTGTGTGCGTGTTATTAATACGTTGTATATTGATTAAAAATAGTTGTTGATCAATATTAAGATTAGCGAGATGAAGGATTGCCAAGCAATGAATGATGCGTGTGTGTGTGTGTGCGCGCATGTGTGTATATATATATATACGTATGCCTGTTGTATGTGTGTGTGTGTGTGTGTAAAAATTAAAATAATTAAAAAATAACAGTGTAAATAAATAAATCAAGATCATAATCTTATGGGTCTTCAATTTTGACGACGACGATGATGATGATAACTCAACAGCAATAACATTTGATGTTATTATTATAAATTATTATTATTATTATTATTATTATGGCGTTTATTAATAATATTATTATTCTTATTGATGGGGGGTAACATATGTGAACATATGCGAAATAAAGAACTAAACACCCACATACAAACATACATACATACATACAAACATACATACACACATACATACCTACATACACATACATACCTACATACACACAAACATACATACATACATACACACAAACATACATACATACATGCATACATACACACAAACATACATACAGACGTAAATACATACACTACATACAATACATACACTAACATCATCATCATCATCACAGCCCATCATCACTAACATCCTCTTCCTGTTGACCTTCGACCCTGCCACACTTCAGCCTAGTGATATCAGCCTGGCATGACTCACTGAACTTATAAATTATTCGATAGTCTCCAAAGACCACTGGCTTCAACCTGCTGAGAAAACTTTGGCAGTGGGGAGTTGTGAGGCTAGAGTTGTCCAGGTAGCCAATTAGGCAAGGGATCAGGTGACCTTTCGTGTTTGTCAGACTTTTGCATTCTGGGATCTGATTGGTCAGTTGGTTTGTGGTGGGTTGATTGGTTGGCTGATTGGTCAGTTGGTTTGTGGTGGGTTGATTGGTTGGCTGATTGGTCAGTTGGTTTGTGGTGGGTTGTATCAAAAAAAAATCTATGCAAAACTTTGAGTCAATCAACAAACCAATCAAAAAATTAACCAACCAACCAACTAAACATTCAACCAACCAACCAACCATTCAATCAACCATTTAACCAACTTGAGCAATCATAGTTTGGCACATGTTTTGAACCATCTTCTCGTAGACAGGATCAACAGTCATGTTTCTTTTGTAGTTCCAAATTAACTGGTGAGGATGATGACGGTGATAATGGTGATGGTGGTAATAATGATAATGATGGTGATGATGGTGGTAATGATGATTATAATGATGGTGGTGATGATGGTGATGTATGAAATGGTAGATAGTGATAGAAAAAATAATGATGAATGGATGCTGATAGTGTTATAAAAATGATGATGATGTTAATGAAGATGATTTTGATGACGTCAACGATGCTGATGATGATGTCAAAGACGATGATGATGATCACTTACATGCTGGCATGGTTCACTGATCTCATTATCCTTTCCAAAAATTCAAGAAGCGGTTTATATTAATGTTTTGTTCAAATATTTTCAATTAATAAGTTAGCAATCCAACTGCAGTTTAAAAAATTGAATCAATTTTTCAAAATTAAGAACAAAACGCGCCCACCCTGTAGCCATTTTGCAGGCAGCTGATAACTTGGAAATTGTCCCAGGCAAAATGTCTGCCACAAATTCTGCCAACGTCACCTGCACACTCTAGACTTTTTGCCAGATTTAAATTGTACGGATCTTCGGGATTTTTATTCATCATTTCCTGTTCTTTATTATTCAGATTCTTTGCACCCGGATCCGAACTACCTCTTCTAGCATCAGGTATACCGACGTCCGGCTTCCGGACATTAAAATCCCTGTGGTAATTAGTATCATCAATGTTAGCGTCGCCATTTTTATTCAAGTCACTGTCGTTGGGAATGTTGGGATTGGGCGGCATGGCCCCGGCTTGGACGATTTGTGTGGCGGTGAGCGTAACGATTGCGACGACCGCAGCGAATGAAAAAATGCGAAATGAATTCATTTCTTCGGGGACGGTTCAGCTGCCGGATCAACTCCAGCGTTCGTAAAAATGTTTATTTGTAGGTGAAAATCGTTTAAAACACGGCTCTCTAGTTGAGATTCAGCCCCAAATATGTTCACCGGTAGCTACGCACAATGTTTATGTAAAGTGGTGTCGTCACTTGTTTGAGATTAGTTCGATGTGTTACGTTTGCTCTCGTCGAAACGCCTAAAGGTTCTGAATGCGCGTTTTACACATATACACACACACGCACACATATACACACACGTACATATTTATGTATATATTAACATATTGATACACTGTTGTAAATTTGATGACAAAAACTTACCAACAATCTTATTCAATCATGGAGTCATAAAATCAAGTAAATAACACGCATTTATATATATATACATATAAATTATGTATATATATATATACATATAAATTGTGTATATATATATATAGATATATTTTACAATATTCTATGAATTCTACCGAATGTTTGGCGTTAATATGTTTGTAGTTCGTTTTTTCAATTTTTCTCACTAAAGTTTTTTGGTGAACGTTTAGTTTATTAAAATTCAAAATAAACTTATTTTCCGAATTCATGCTGCATATATATATATGCATATAAATGTTGGAAAGAGACTATATCTTATACAGCATTGTATGAACTCATCGTAGAATTCACACAATACTGTACATATCCATACATATATGTATGTATGTATGTATATATGTATGTATGTATATATATATATATTTATATATGTTGGTAATAGACCATAATTTTTTTAATAATAAAGATAGAATTTATAGAATATTGTAAATATATATATATATATATATATATATATATATATAAACGCATTATACAAAAAAACGAACGTAATTTCAAATACAATAAAAATCCATTTAAATAAATTAATGGATATCCACTAAATAAACTACGAGATGATCAAATGAATGAATGAACTAATAAATGGATGAATGGATAGATGAATGAATTGATGAATGGATAGATGAATGAATGAATGAATGAAAGAAGATTTTATCAATCAATCCACATATCATAACATTAATAAAACAACAATGATAAAGAACAATGATAATAACAACAATAAAAAAATAATGATTAATAGTAATAATAATAATAATAATAATAAAACACAATAATAACAATATCAATCATTTATGTCCATAGTCATCCAGGTGTCAGGCGAAAGCCAAAACGAATAAAATTATCCATTTGAGAGTTTTTCAAGGTTAATGACACAACGTAACGTAGAATCACTGAATAATAATTCAGTGCAGTCGCGGTAGTGGCCAAACAACAAGGTACATTACAACACACAAAAATGCAAGCTCGTAGCCCTGAGTCAGTCGATCAAGGAACGACTTTCATCTCATTTAAAAGATTATCAATTAGATAATTAATCATTATTGATTAATTAATATTAATAAATTATTAGTAAGACAATTGATCATTAATAATTATTAAATAATTATGATTAATAAATAATTAGTAAGAAAATTAATTATCAATTAATTATTATTAATAAGACAAAGGCGAACTGAAAGTTTAAAAAATAATATTAAAAACCAAAAAAATGCGAATAAAAACCGCACTAGAATATTTTCTACTTCAACCTAAGGATGGTTAAAAAACGTGATACAAATGAAAAATAAATAATTTAAAATAATTAAATTAATTAAATAATTATTATAAAATAATTAAAATAAAATAAATAATTTAATTGATAATTTTCTGTTGGCAGCCGTTAACCCATTTAGTCAAACAATCCAAATCACACGCCTCCAATAAATCCAATAATGGAAATACAATACAAACTCTTACATCTAACTGATGACGACCAGACGATGATAACAATGACAACTTAACGATAATGGAGATAATTTAATGGTTACCATATAATAAAGCAACTTAGCCAGTGAATGATTATTACATAGTGATTAAAAGACACACAACGAAAAAGAGAGAACTTGAATGTCTTGAAACTTGGGTGTTTGTTGTGGTGAGAGGAGCTAAGTGTACTGCAGAGGGCTGAAAGAGCTATGGTGAGGATGATGTGTGGGTTTAAAGTGAAGGATAGGAGGAGTAGTACAGAGCTGATGTCGATGATGGGACTGAATGAGGGGACATTGTGACATTGATAAGGAGATCGAGATTGCGGTGGTATGGACATGTGTTGAGAAGGGATGAAAGGGTCGGGATTAGGCGAGCGTTGGAGTTCGAGGTTGAAGGAGTGGTAGGAAGGGGTCGTCCGCGATTGGGATGGAGAGAGCAGGTGGAGAAGGACATAGGAAAGCGGGGTTGCGTGATACGAGGCGAGTGTGTGTG